AGTCTGGTGCACGGATGGGAGCCAGCTGGTTTGCCCTGAAGGGTGTCCCGGATCAGGATGGGCGTCCTGCTGGGGTACCTGGCCAGCCTGGGTGAGGGGCTGATGGCTATTTGCAGGCTGGTCAAGTGCCCCCTCCCCCAGGGGTGACCCTCACCCCATGGAGGTTTGGCCAGCCGGGGTGAGGGGCTGATGGCTGTTTTCAGGCTGGCCACACCCCCTTTAGGGTGGGGGGTCCCCACTGGGGTGCCTGGCCAGTCTGGGTGAGGGGCTAAGGGCCATTTTCAGGCTGGCCAAGCCCCCCAGCGACCTAAGCAACCAGCCTCTCCTTTTTCCTTTTTATTCTGGGATTTATTTACCTTCTATAATTGAAACTTTGTAGCCTTGAGTGGAGCTCAGAGCTGGCCGCAGCAGGCAGGAAGCTTGGCTTCCTCCATCACTGGAGCAACCAAGCCTCCTGCCTGCTTCAGCTTCGTGGCTGCCGGCCGCCATCTTGGTTGGGTTAATTTGCATATAGTCACTCTGATTGGCTGGTGGGCATGGCTTACGGCATAGCAAAGGTACGGTCAATTTGCATGTTTGTCTTTTATTAGTGTAGATAACTTCCTACTTATTCAAAAATTGGCAGTTTTTCATATAGCTGCAGACACCCATATAAATTAAGGCAGTGTCCCAAAGCCAGACTAAACAGCTTAGAGTTGTAGCTCTCATGGTTTCTGCATATGAACATGCCTTTCAACAATAATTTTCTGAACTTACCACAATAACTACTACACGGTGGGGTAGAAGTAGGTTTACAGTTGTATGTACACAAAACAGAGTTTATTCTTTTTTTTAATTTTATTTCAGAGAGGGAAGGAAAGATAGAAACATCTTATATAATAAAAGCCTAATATGCAAATCGACCAGGGGAACAACCAGTCACTATGACGAGCACTGACCACCAGGGGCAGACGCTCAATGCAGGAGCTGCCCCCTAGTGGTCATTGCATTCCCACAGGGGGAGAGCCACTCAGCAAGAGCCGGGCTCATGGCTGATGAGCATAGCAGCGGTGGTGGGAGCTTCTCCCACCTCTGTGGCAGTGCTAAGGAGCAGAGAGCTCAGCGGTAAGGAGCATAGGGCAGATGGGCAGTAAGGAGTGAGGAGGGTCCTGGACTGTGAGGGAGCACAGGTCGGGCTAAGAGACCGCCTCTTCCCACCCCCCAACCCTCCGCCGCCACCACTCCAGTGCATGAATTTCATGCATCAGACTTCTAGGCAATGATGAAAGAGAATCATTGATCAGCTGCCTCCTGAATGCCCCCAACTGGGGATTGAGCCTGCAACCTGGGCATGTGCCCTGGACTAGAATCAAACCTGGGACCCTTTAGTCCGCAAGCTGACACTCTATCCACTGAGTCAAACCAGCTAGGGCCAGAGTTTATTCTTGTATTATTATTTATTAATTGTTATATTATTTTTCTTACAAACAACTGGAAACCAACTTTTCAACCTGTATACTAAGTATGTGTTGTTTGAAAAATATCAAATAGCTACTATTAATTCTGTAATAGTATTTACAAATATAAATGAAAAATAGCATTATACGCATGCACATGCAATACAATTATTCATATGATCTACAGACAATGATGTATATATGAATTCCCAGACCCATACAATACCTAGGAAGACCCCCCCGACCCATTGAGACCCACTCCCACATCCCACATTGGAAACTACTGGATTAGACTATTTTAATATGATAAGACCACATTCTCCTCCAGAAACAAGACAAATCTTAATAAAAGACTATGCATCAGCTATATTTTATTTGTAATTAAATACTTGGAAAAAACATTATTTGCCTGTTAAGTCATTTGAATAAATGACAGTAGGATATCCAAGCAACACATGTATAGCGACAAAGTGGAGTAAAACAAGCAGAGAGGACTGAAGAAATGTTTTCAGGATGCACTAAAATAAGTCTTCAAGCAAGGAAGTATAAATGTAAATAGGGAGATTCAAAAGCAGCAGCCAGAGCAATATAACAAGGGATGAAGAAATGGACACATTTTCTAAAGCAAAGTTTCACATCAAGTTTCAATTTAAGAGGCAGCTTCCCAATTGATATTTTCTCCTAATGTCAAATGCAGCTAATAACTGAAATCTGATTGCATGGGCCTAGTCCAGTAAAAAAGAAAATTATAACTGATCTTTTGACACATTATTAAAGATTTATGAAATAGACATACCAAGAATCTCTATGTCACTGAAGATAGTACCTTTATAGAACAGAGTTCCTGTAAAGTTAATTTAGGGAGTAAATTTTAAGTCCAAATATTAGAGTGACAGCTTAAGAAATCATTTAAATTTCCTCAAGTTTTAATCATCTTTGCTTCAAAATATAAGTAACTATATCAATATCCTTAAAAAATCTATTATTTAAAAATAGAAAAGTTTTATAATACTTAATTTTCACAGAAATATGAGAAAGTACAATAATGTATACATTTAAAAAACAATCTATAAACCTGAACTGATAGCTAGTTGCTACTGTCTCACCTCCTTATTAAAGCATGCCAGTATTACCAAGGTATTATATATGTATGTACTTACAAATGTATATACAGTGGATGCTATATCAACATGTATCTGCTGTAACACACACTCCAGCTCAGGGCTAAGTCAACAAATGTAAGAGCACTCATCATGTTCAAGAACATGCAGGGGAACCAAGATGAGTAAAGACAAAAAAGAAAGGAAAACAAGCTTACACTTAATGCTAGGCACCATCAACTATCTTCATTTAATATTCACAACAACACTATAAGGTACTGCCATTCTCATGTCTATAAATGGGAAAACTGAGATTCAGACAATGTTGAAAACTTGCACAAAATTACAAAACAACTAAATAAAGGGTAGAGATTCAATTCAACTGCAGGTCTGCATGATTCCAAAACCTCACACTATATGATTCCATACTGTTCTTAAGGGGCTTAAAAACATAAGTGGAGATATTACACATGTATATAACTAACAGAAAGCAGTGTATGAAGTGTCAAAATAGTTTGTTCCTCTAAATGCTCTGGGCCCCCAATGAAAGTATCATAATTTTATACAGAGCCCACTGGGAGAGGATTTTGAGAAAAAAGACAGAATTTAAAATGTTCCTGAGAAAACAACTAACATTTTAACAGACAGAAATCAGCAATTAAAATATTCTAGAATTAAGGAATGGAACGATTAAAGGCACCACATAAATAGTATTTTCAAGACAGAATGTATTTTGTCAAAGTGTATGTATGGGAGGTGAGGGTTAATCATTGGTATGCCATAAGTGTCTATAGACACAAGCATCAGACCTTTTTTAATTAAATTCAAAATATTATGGCAGTTAACTGGTTAAAGTAGAAAAGTGGAAGACTACTACAGTGGGAAATAAAACTAGATACTTAAGGTAAGACAGATCATAGACGCTTTGAACTTTACTCTGTAGGCACCAAGGAATCACTCTAAGTGTTTGAACAAGGAAATTACATTATCAAACCTGTACTTTAGAAAAACAATGGTATCAATAGATTGAATTAGTAAGAGAATAGAGGTTTATAGGCATGTAGGGCAATTAGGAGGCAACAATAGTCAACAAAGTCAGTGAGGGCAGGGACTACCATCTGCCATTTTCATTGTGTAGCACCAACCAGCACATACAACACTGTACCCAGCAGGCATCCAAGAAAATAACAAGGCTATGATAACATTCCTACAAAAAAATTAGGGCTGAACTAGGACACCAGCAGTAAACAAAGATATAAAACAGAGCCAAAATATCTGAAGGATAGAATCAATAGAATAGTAAAGTTTAGAAGTGTATGGAGGTTGAGGAAGAAGACATTAAAAAGGCTGAAATTTTACTAAGTGACCGAAATTTTGATATTTCATCCACAAAGAAAAATAACTTTTTTAAGTGTGGAACCTGATATTAACCCGAAATTTTGATATTTCATCCACAAAGAAAAGTAAATAACTTTTTTAAGTGTGGAACCTGATATTACAATCTATATACTTGTTTTCAAAGGTCTGCTTCATTCTAAATTGAATTTGTAAAGTATTTATATAGACAAGTCCATTACAGGATGAACAAAAATTACAATAGTTTGCAAAGGGTCTTGAAAATCATTTGGTTTTAGAAAAACTTACTAAATGTATACATCAGGACTACTTAGAATGTGTTTTACTCAAACTTACTTTCTCCATCACCATCTTTATCAAATTCTTCTATCATAGCCCGAAGTTCTTCATCACTCATGTTTTCACCCAATTCTCTGGCAACACGTCGCAAATTCCTCAAGCTTATTTTACCTGAATCATCATCATCAAATAGTTTAAATGCCTTCAATATTTCTTCATGTGGATCTCTTTCCAATATCCAGTCTGTCACTAAAGTTAAAAACAAAAGAAAATAAAAAATAAACCTTCATCATCACAAAGGTATTCATTTGTGCTATCAACTAAGTACCAAATGAGAAATAAATCCGTCAACATTTAGCTTGAAAATAAAATGCCATATCAGTATCTTTATGTATGTATATATAGTGGATACTGTATCAACCAAAAAGCCAAAGAGATAAACCTGAAATTAGAAAAATCAAATCCATATTTTTAAATGTAAGCTTTATAATATCAATAATTCATCCTATTATAAAAGTAAGCAAAATTATTTACATTGCACAGACGCAAAATAAAAGAATTATATTTATACCATATTTATCTAAGGTTTACTATTATCAAGAACTGTTGTAGGCTCCACTGACATCAAGCACATTAGGCTAGCTAGCAGTTAGTAACCTAGCTAGAGAGATGTTATACCAGGGGTGGGCAAACTTTTGACTCGAGGGCCACAATGGGTTCTTAAACTGTACCAGAGGGCCAGAACAAAAGCATGGATGGAGTGTTTGTGTGAATATAAATTCGAAGTAAACATCATTACATAAAAGGGTACGGTCTTCTTTTTTTTAGTTTTATTCATTTCAAACGGGCCGGATCCGGCCCACGGGCCATAGTTTGCCCACGGCTGTGTTATACCAACAAACAATTGAAACTAACTAGATAGCCTGGCCGGTGTGGCTCAATGATTGAGCTTGGATCCATGAACCAGGAGGTCACAGTTCGATTCCCAGTCAGGGCACATGCCCAGGTTTTGGACTCAATCCCCGGTAGGGGGCATGTAGGAGGCAACCTATGGATGATTCTCATCATTGATGTTTCTCTCTCTCCCTCTCCCTTCCTCTCTCTGAAATCAATAAAAACATATTTTAAATAATCTAACTAGATAAAAGATGTTTGCTGGCAAACTTAATAACACGAATTGCACCCCAAATTTAACCCCAATTAAAAACAAAAAACTGACAAATAAAATGCACTGCCATCGTTATTATAGACACAATCTCAGACAGTAGATGAAAATTTCACTGATACCTTCATGATTACAAGAATGTCTTCGTTTTCCAAAACATGAGAAGTAGTTATTAAAAGAATTAAATCTGACTGCAATAACACAACCAGGAAAAAAATAAAAGGTCTGGAAAAGATATCTCATGCATTTTGTTTAGCAAAATAACTTCAGACAAGTAAGTAAAATTAAGGGAATAATTTCAGACCTCGATAGCTGAGAGTATCGATGTATTTTAATATACTAAATGTAATAATGTATAATAATATAGTTTACTCAACATTTTCAATATTACCAGTCTTAATAGCCACAATAAAAAAAAAAAGCTGTAGCATATACGTATAAATCTGAAAATATCTAAGTAAACATCTCTAAAGTAATTCTGCAAGCTAGTCTAGCACTACAACAAAAGGTATTTATGACTCTCACTGTGCCATTAAAAATAAATCAATCCTGCCCAGCTGGTGTGGCTCAGCAGTTGAGTGTTGACCCAGGAACCAAGAGCCAAGAGATCACCAGTTCAATTCCCGGTCAGGGCACATGCCCAGGTTGTGGGCTCAATCCCCTGCGGGGTGTGTGCAGGAGACAGCCAATCAATGATGTTCCTCTCTCGCATCAATGTTTCTAACTCTCTATCCCTCTCCCTTCCTCTCTCTAAAAATCATTAAAAACATTTAAAAATAAATAAATAAAGCTTACTGAAGTTTATGAAAGCATTAAAAACTTGCAAATGCTTATAGAGAGAAAGTATAGGAATGTTGAATGTACCCAAAAGGAAAAATACAATTTAAGTCCCAAATATTTTATTATTGTTTTGCAGCTATTTCATCGTATTAACATTCAAGATGTTAAATCATCTACACATATATTCGTTTTCTTTTTCTCCTACCCATTAATTTTATCCAGTCTTCCAAGTAACTAATTGAAGTATATTATTATAAGTATGCAAATCATCAAAGCTCATAAATATTCAGTCAAAAAGGAGTTGGCATATATACAGCCATAACACCAAAATAAAATACCACACTTAACTCTATGGCTCATACTCAACTTATTTTGAATTTAGTCCCAACAAAAAAGCAGGACAAGGGAAAAAAAAGTGTTAAGAAATTTTCTTCACCAATTAAATAATTTTACATGACAGGTGAACCAAAAAAGCAGCTTGCCGAAAGTATTAATGTACTTAAAGAAGCAACAGGGTGATCTGGGGAACAGATGGGGCTCCAAGATATATAAATTCTTAGCCCACTGGTGCTTTAATTGTGTTAGTTACTTCAGACTTATGTGTATATATAATCTTTTATCAATACACTGCCTTAGAACGCAACTTTTCTTGGAAACTATAAATACCCATCATTCTGAATAGCTAAAACATTAAACTTTATGGTGACTCTCCTCCATGCCTTCATGTTCTATTCCTGTCCTACAAAGTAGAATTTAATTATAAGAAAGACATTGTCTTTCAACGAAAATAAGTCAACTGACATGCAGGCAGTTAATGAAAGGATTAAAAACTTGCAAATTAGAACAAAGAGAAAAAAGGCAGTTAATAAAAGGTCTGTCCAAATAACTTTTTTCAAATTACTTAATTATACTATTAGAAATGTACTTCCTCAAAATATTTAGACCTTACACTTTATAAAAATCACTTGTGAATACAGCAAATTAAAAGACACTAAAAGTTTATCAAAAATCATTAAAGGTAATACTAGAAATATAGCTTCAACTATTTATCTCACTGACTTTTGGAAGGCTCTATCCAAAAATACCAGTTACTATTAACTCACTTTTTGGAGTCCAAACTCCTCCCACTATCACCAAGGTAGCTGACAATGCCCCACTCCAAAAAAGATGAGAGCATTATTAATAGTTTCCCATATTTGAAAAGACTGAACATTTTCAATTCCATAAACCCAATCAGTGATCAGATCCTATAGTTCTGAGGATGCTACCTTTTTTACTCTTAAATGTATCCCTTTTCATTCTCACCACCTTCAACATAAAACATGTATTATTTTCTGCCTGCAATCTCTCTTCTCTCCAATCCATCTTTAATACGCTAAACAGTTATCTTTCTAAAACATATCTACTCTTCTTTAAAAATTGATAATGGGCCCTGACCGGTTTGGCTCAGAGGATAGAGTGT